TGGAGCAGTATCAGACTCATATTCTGACTAGAATTGAGTAGGACTATGTCAGGCTAACCATAGTATACATTTGATTGGTTTTTGGTGTACCTCTATTTTGAAGTTATAGCGCCCCCCTGGAGAAAACTCCCTCAGCCGCCACTGATGTAGACCTGATTGAAGAACTGGATGTTGGATAACTAACTGGACGTTAACAGATTGTCTTTACGGGACTCGGGTCTTTGAATCTTTAAAGAAAGCTTTGCGGATGGCCTAACTGACTCCAAGACTTGATTTAAAGATAAATCACCAAGACACACAAAAAGTGCCAAATTCTGCTCAGAAACTATAAGAAGACTTTCAGAAAACATCTAATAAATAAATAAATTTCTTTAAAACCAAATTCAACACTTTTCTTGTTTACATTTTTTTGCTGCTGAAAAGCTGATGAGGTTGAGGTCTAGTTTGGGTCAGTTCTAATTCATGTCATCCAAAAAGGCAGCCCTGCTGTAGCTTCCTACCTGTTGAAGATGTTGTAGAGGACGTCACCGGCTGGCTGCTGATGTGCGGCTGCATGTGAGGTGGAGTATATGTCTGATAACTTCGACCGTTTACCGAGGGGCTGCTGGGAAGCATGCAGGAATAAGAGGTATGGTTTGATGCCTGAAAAAAGAACAGAAATATATATCAAAGCTGTGGCACTGAAGTGATGGGAGGATACCTGGACTAACAGTAATAATAATCTGATTCATTTTTTCCACAGACAACATACGAAGTATTGTATTATTATTTCTCTTTGTTATTCTTCCTGTGTCTCCTTTATGACTACAGGCTTTTATAGATGTTAAGTCTCAACACACAAGCTGTATTTCAGGTTTGATAAATTGCATTCTTAGGTGACTACATTTCCGTTTCCTTCTCCCAGTGTTTTGTATATTTTGATGCTCAGCATTATGCTCTTCATATCCATGAAGGCAAAGACTAAAAGCTGCTCCTTTACTCAATTTAAAGATGCAGTACAAGTTGCATCTGGCTTGTAGATCAGCTTTGCTCATGCATACTGTCAACTACGGTCTAAAATCTGGATCATGACCAATGGAGCAAGATCCCTGTTACATCAGGCTGAAATTGTCTTATTCTGCAGGGTAGCTGGGAGCTTCCTTATGCTACGTTTAGAGCACACGCAGCATAAGCAGCAAAAATGCGTGTGCTGGTTCAATTTCGATGCTTGTACCAGTTTAGTTCTGATGCGCGGCTGGTGGTAAAGTGGGTCTGATGCGCGTAGGGTGAAGCTATCCTTTCTTTGCCTGGAACAATGGCAGCTATATTAGCTGTGATCAGTGGTAAAAAGTAGTTGAATCTATGTTGAAGTGAGAAAGTCCTCCTGAAAAAATGGTCTGTGCAGTCAGTTCATCCAGATTACCATCCTGCCTTCAAAGATTATTTCTCTGTGGGAGCTGCTCAGACCCCCACATACCGGCGGTGCGCTGTCACTGGGAATCCCCAGCAGCAGCTGCCTGAGGCCCGGTTGCCTCTATGGGGGTTTTCCCCTACTGTTGGTGGCGGCTGGAAGTAGATGTTAGCTTTTTTTTACGTACGTAATCCAAACTGCAGGCACCAGGATAATAAAAGCGAACATTTTCTGCCGGCAGGTTTCTACATTTTAAGTTAATTTAGGCGTTAATAAACTGTTTCAGAGGAGTGATCATAGCGCTCTGCTTCTGATTGGTTGATGTGGAGCGTCCAGCAGCTAAAATCTTTTTTTCCAACTCCAACAGCTGCTGCTTATGAAGCGCCTCAGATTGTCAGAAGCTCATGAGTCGCTGCTCCTGCTGCTCTAGATGCGCTGCAGAACCTTTTGCTGCACCTTGATGCGCGTCAACTTTGCATGTAAACCTGCTTCCTCTGCTGCATCTGCTGCTGACGGTCTGAATGTAGCATAAGAGCGAGGGCGAGAAGCTTGGTCATCAGGGAGAGACTCAGAATAAAGCCTCTTCTCATCCACATCTTCTTTGGATGCCCCCTAAATTCTTCGATTGGGAGGTGTGTCAAACATCTCCCACAAGGAGCTAGAGGTAGAGGTGAGAGTGCTGTGATTACCGACCCTGTGACACAGTCCTGGATAAGCAGATAGCAACGAATAAAAGCACCTGAATCTGAGGGTTCTAGTGTGTGGTAGCAAAGCAACAAAGTGGCTATTAGACATCAGCATGTTAGATAGAATGAGGTAAGAGAACACAGTCTTGAATACAACACAAACAATACAACACATTTTTGACTTGCTGACTGCAACTTGGAGTAGCTCTGGTTTCCTGATTCTTATGTTCTTTAAAAAAAAAAAAAGAATATTCTCAGGTGATACTGTAAACCTAAAATAATTTTTGCAAATATCGTTTCATTTTTGGATTTTTGTTATGATGGATTACTCATTAAAATCTGAAAAAGTTTAGAAATAATACTTCTGCAAGTCCCGTTGGTGTTAAAAAGGAGGTGCAGAGGATGCAGAGCAGGAGCAAGGAGAAGAAAGAGGGGGAGGAAACTCAAGCCCTTTCATTGAGTCATTCCAAGCAGGAAGGAGTCAACAAATGGCTGCTTTCTAGGAAGGACCCAGCCAGAATATCGAGAATGCAGTATTATGTGTTTCACTGAAACATGGCTGCAGAATCATATCCCTGGCATCAGAGTACCTTTACCAGGTTATCTGTTGATACCAGCAGACAGATCAAAGGGGGCTGGAAAATTAAGTCTCCAAACCCCCTGGAGACTGTTTCCCAAAGAATAATTATTTAAAACAATAAAGAACATCGTGGACCACAGAGAGAATCCTCTTCAGAAAACCTAAACAACAACAGAGTGTCTTCAGTCGAAGGCTTCTATAGATGCAGTGCAATACAGACCACTAAAGAAGACCTCTCCTGGGGGATAAGTAATGGTAATGGTAATAATATTGCCCTTTTAACATTTGGCGGGCTGTAGCCTCACTAAAATAAATCAAATCAAAGAAGTGTCCTACCATGACTATGAAGCTGATCGACAGCCATGCTAACTATGTAGGGACAGTGCTAGCCATGCCAGTCGAGGGACTGACTGCAGTTCTGTAAGGTGCCTTGGTCAAGGTCAATGACCGACGTATCTGACATGTAACCAGACCATGCATATTGCTTTAGGTTACTAGATTATTTTAATTAGGCTATGGATGCTTCCAAAAAAAAAATAATAATAATAAAAAACCACCGTCCCCCTTCTTTTTTTTTTTTTTTTTTTACAACTAGACTACTGGCAAGAGGCTAACTTCTGGAGAAGGTTAAAGATCCAGCAGATCAATAGATTTAATTTTAACTTAATCCTGACTATTTAAATGTAAATGATGTTTCTCATTGGACGATATTCCTTTGTACCTCATTGCAACTTTAAAAAAAACTAAGAAAAAAAAACCCTGTTTAATGTCACAAAGCTTTATGATGTCAGTGCGCAGACGTACAACACAGTTGATTATCATTCATACAACAATAGTCCTCACTGTGTGTCCTATTAAATCTTACTTGTATGGGCAAGCTAGCAGCCATGCTAAAGCTTGGCATAGCTGGAAGGCCATAGCTGTTGGATAGAACTTGATCCGATCTTCCCATTATGGATCCCGAAGAAAAGGACACTAGAGAGAGAGGAATAAAGTGATTAAAAGAGAAGTCTGGATAAGACAATGTGTAAAAACAATTTAGCTATGATAGAAGGCCACATCTGCTATAAATTAGAAGCAGTGGCGGCTGCCCAATAGAGGGCGCTAGAGGCTTGATTAAGACATAAAAAATAAAAGTCAATTATAAAATTAAGATATTTTGAAATATATTGATTTTAAAGTGCAAGATAAATATTTAATCTTTAACGACGAGTAATGATGTTTCGTTTTTCGTCAGATTGGTGCCATATTTCCGCCCTAGGGCGTTGACATCTTTGACTCCCATTGACTTTGGTTAAAAGTTGTCCATGTGCAGTAGCTCCTCTGCAATACAGAAGTATAGGAGAGCTCTGGGCGCACCAAAGCTACGCCCTGAGGTGACAGGAAGTGATGTCACAGTTGTAGTCCAGGTGATTGACAGGCCGAGTCACAGGAGGGAAGCAAACTCACCAAGAGAAGCTGGAGATGAAATCCTTTCTACTTGATCAGCCAAACATCAAAATTTATCAGCATCCAAAGAAAGATGGAGATGGTTCAATTGGTCCTTTTCAGTGACCTGGTTTAGCTCCAAGGTGAGGCTAACTGCATGCAGCAAGGCTAAGGCTTTATTCTGCTTTCCCTTTATCAAACGTCAGGATCTGAGCCAGCATGGATAAAGACAGCTAGGACTCATTTAAAGCACCTTTTAGAAAAGGCAAAGAGGAATGAACAATCTGGGACTCACATGGAAAATAATAGAATATAGTCTACTTTTTTTAGATGTTTGTTCATTTGCAGAGTTGCTCTTAAATAAACACATTCTAAGAATATAAATATATATAATATATATATTATCAGTATTTTTTTTAGGTATGTGACTCAATATTGGACCATGCAAAACACAGATTTACCTTCACAAAGCCTCAGAAGGGCAAGACTTATTTACAAAAAGAAATTATTTTTTGTTTTTATAAAGTGTTTTTATAATGTTTTTTGTTGTTGGCATTAATATAAATATATATATAAATAAGTATATATTTTTAAATACGTCACCAATCCAATGAAAGAAAAAAACAGCTTTACTTGTAAGATGAAATATTTATCTTGCACATCTTAAAAATATAAGATGTACTATTTTTTTTATTGTATGTCTTAATGAAGGTCACTGGGTGGGTAGAGCCTCTATTGGCCAGCCGCCACCGGTTAGCTCGCCTTTGAGTGCAGAGCTTCTGTATTCTAGTTGGATGAACTAGATTAGTAAATTCATTAACTTTGGCAGCCAAACCTTTACTGTTGCTTCGCAGAGACCCGAGAAAAGAATATCAGTCTATTTGCTATACTAAGTCATTGTTAAACACCCCCTGTTTGCACTGGTTTTTAACCCAAGCTGAGCTTTTTGTCTTATTTCTTTAAATATTTTTTTAATTATTCATATTTATTATTTATATTTATTATTCATATTTCATATTCCCATGTTAGACAGGGAGAACGCTATCTGACAGGGTTTATAGGCCCGTCAGATAGCGTTCCCCCCTGATGTCATTTACGTTGAGTTGCAATAAATGCTAAACTCTCTGCAGGTTCTTGTCTTTGTCGTCCGCTCTATTCAGCTGGCTTTGGAAACACACGGCGAGAAGGTGGGGGCTGGGTGGTGAGGGTTATGGGGCGAGAAACGCAAAAGTAACGCAATAGTTACTTTTACTAGTAACTAGTTACTTTTATTGTGGAGTACTCAGTAACTCAGTTACTTTTTGGGAGAAGTAACTAGTAACTATAACTAATTACTTTTTCAAAGTAATGTGCCCAACACTGATTAAACGTGACATTGATAGTCACTTTTTTTTTGCCAACATCTACCACAGTGATGATTAGACATCTCCTTTAACAGATTCACACCACTGAACCTGCATTGTAAAGTCAAAAGGTAAAAATATGACAAGGAAACAGGTGTTAACAGAGGTAGCGCTACTGTGACGTTTTAATGACCTTCGCTCTGATGCAAAGATCTTTACATCTTTTTCTACCGCTCTCTATCTCTCCTTGAACCCCAGTCAGCCTCAGCAGATGGCCGCTCCCAGTGAGCCTGGTTCTGCTGGATGAGTCGATACAATCAGCTGCTTTTCCTTAGATAGAGAACTTTGAATCAATCTGATTGGATGATCTGGTGAACTGGAAAGTGCCTTGAGATGACGTGAATTAATGCTATAGAAATAAACTGAATGGAATCGAATTGAACGAAAGCTTGTGGGGTTGGCTTGCTGTCCGTTAGATGCTAACATGTCCTCAAATTTCCATAATCGATTCCAATAAATAAACAGTGGATATAAAATTAAGATATATAGAATACCAGGCTTTCATGAAATATGACATAATAACTAGTAAATACTTTTGTTACATGATGTGACATTTGACCCCAAAAAATCGTGTTAATGACAAACAAATTTGTTCCAGGAATAAAATATAAAACTGACCCTCATTAGAGGGAAATTCTATTCTATTCAGTTTATTTCTATAGCACCAATTAACAACACATGTCATCTCAGCTCACTTTCCAGTTCATCAGATCATCCAGTCAGATTGATTCAAAGTTTTCTATCTAAGGAAAACCAGCTGATTGCATCGACTCATTGACTCTTCAGCAATCCCTCACACTAAGCATGCTTGCAGCGACAGTGGAGAGGAAAAACTCCCTTTGAACAGGAAGAAACCTCCAGCAGAACCAGGCTCAGTGTGAGCGGCCATCTGCTGATGCCTACTGGGGTTCAAGGAGACAGAAGCAGACATAGAAAAAGAAGCATAGATACAAAAGGCAACTGTCAACCAGCTCCACAGGCGGCCCCATCCAGGAAACACACAGCCAATGCACAGCTTTAAATAATGTAAAAGCACCTTCTTGTAAAGTTTAGCAATCAGTCTTTATGGTAATGATACATTCAAACTGACTAAATTATTTCTCAATAAGGTTAGTGTTTCTATCACTGTAGAGTTTGATGTAGCAAAGCGTTCGTAGTATTTGGTACCTGGAGCAGAAGGCTGAGGTGGAGAGGAGTAAGCGCTGCTGCTAAAGCTGCTGTTGATGGGAATATGGTTTGAGGTATTCAAAACCTGCCGTCGTTGATTCCTTAACTTCTCCTCTCTTCTCCACTTCGCACGTCTGTTTGAAAACCAAACCTGGACAAACCAAAAGAAAACCTGAGTTACATCCAACCCTGTTTGCACTTTAACACTCTAAAGACAGAAGAGGTTTTCCTCTGTTAAAGAAAATAAAGGGGCTGAACTATACTATCATGTACTGGGTCAGTAGGGGAATCGTCAAGTAAATCAGAATTAACAAGATTGTCTTTAAATCTGTACCAGAAATTATTTAGACTGAATGGCTGAAACTGATATGGCGCCTTTTCACTCCAAAGAGCTCTACTACACTAAGTTTAGTAATTCACCCATGCATTCCCACACTCACACGATTAAACTGAACTGTACAGAAAGGCGTGGGAAAAAATCTACATCTACACAAATTTGCTTTGAAGCTTCTTCTATTCTGAGACGGCAGAGAACAGCACTGGACTCCAGACCACAGGCGGCATGGTTCGCAAATATGGAAGCACTGTTGCTTTTGGAAAGGTCTTAGGTTGGAATCCCAGCCTGGAGGATTTCTGCACAGAGGTTGCATGTTACATCCGCACATGCATCCTCCCACAGACGGACCTATTCATGTTAGGTTGGTTAGTATAAATGACTCCTAGCTGTGGGTCTGTGTGGGTGCAGAGTTGTCTGTCCAGTGTGTCTTTGTATTACCCTACGATTATGTCAATCCATTGCATGACATCAGAAGATATAACTGCCTCCCATTTAGAGACAATTGGATATAGGGATCTTTAAAGGCAGGATTAAAACTTATTTTTCCAATTGTCTTTTAGAGAATAAAGGTTCCTTTTTTTTGTTTCCTGCAGTGTGCTGTAAAAAGCCTAACAAACTTAAATTAAAAGTGACAAAACCTCAGGTTTCACAGGCATCTTAAATCTTAGCCTCCTGATTTAAAGACACCAAAGTATTGAAAAATAAACAGAGGTTAAAGCTTTTGTAAATTTTGTGGTATTAATTTCTACAAAGTTATCCTGTTCCTAAGAAGATTCCTGTTACGGTAAATAGATCTGTCTGGTTTAAGACTTAGGTCCAGCTTCTAAAGCTTACCTGTATTCTTGCTTCAGGGAGATCAATTTTATTAGCAAGACGTTCACGAGCAAAAACATCTGGATAGTGAGTCCTTTCAAATTCTAAAACAGAAAATAAACATTTTAATCAATAAATAAACATGTTTCAAAACAAACGGTAAAATACAGCCAAATCTCACTCTGTGTTAAAAAGATAGAACACTGGCTTTAAAAGAATGTGGTCTATATGATCAGCAAAAGGGAGTAAAATATTGGCTTTCTTTAAAATGTACACAGACCCACTCAATCTTATCTTCATTCTTTAGATCTTGCACTATTTTGATTCTGAAGAAATTACTGAATTTGCTTACATGACTGTCCTATTGAACCATTGTTAATAACCCTTTTTTTAAAAACCCTTTTCAAAGTGGTTCTGTTGGGAGTTTCCTACTATTAAAAGTACATGCTTAATTATTATTTTTTTTCAAGTGATTGTAGATATTATCAGTGATAATTTCCTTACTTGTAATAGAAAGATGCCAAATCACCCTGAGCTTGTTGAAAATGTAAACACATTGTCAGAGTGCTGGAAGCTAATAGCTAATCCCTTTACAGTAAGCTGATTTAAACAGTTTGAACAACTAATACATAAAGTGTAAGATGTTTGGTGCAATTTTTCTCAGATGAACAACATACATTATAGAGGTATCTAGCTTGAGCCTGCCGCTTATATCAGTGCCCCTCAGTGGCTGATTTAAAACCTGGAGTCAAGGAAACTTACAAAACCATATTTTTGCCTTAACTGACAATTAAACACAACATTCCTAAGTTTTCTCTATTTTTCTTAGAGTCAGAGCAAATGAGGCGGATTGGTCCAGGTGGCAGACTTAAATAACTCTTAATGTTTTTCAGATGAATTAAACATCATAAAATAGAACAAGTCGTCAGCAAAGCTTTACACCAATATTAAATATCAAATTGTCCTATCCAACTACAGTATAAACATTTTTAGTTTTAAATACCTAATAAACAGCTAAAGTCTACTAAAACCATGTCTGGCCAGCTGTTAGCTTCCACCCCTTAGAGTCGGTCACACTACGCTGGTCTACTTTATCAACATGGTAAAACATTATTATTATACTTCAAGCAAGAGAACTTTTATAAACTAAAACCTCCAAGAACAGCAATAATATCTAACCTGTAACAAATAACCATCATGGTGGGTTAATGGTGCCTTGAAAAAGTTTTAACCTGTTTTGCTATAATCTAACCTACAATTGTACCTTCCAAAGTAATTGTCCCCCAGTGAAACATGGTGGAGGCAGTATCATGCTGAGGGGATGTTTTTCCACAGGAGGGACTAAAAACTAAGAGAAAGATGAATATTCTAGTCAGAAACCTGCCTGTGATTTGAGACAAGAACGAAGCTTCAGCTTCCAGCAGAATAATGACCTGGAGCAGATGTAGCCAGTTTATAGTCTTATCCAGCTTATTAGACAGCTGGAGCTGCTGCTGGGGGCAGCTCTGCAAACCTTTGGCCTCTGGTTTGGTGAATAAGTCGCTCTCTAAGGTTTAAGGTAATTGTTTCTTCGCAATAAAGAAAATAATCTGTCCTAAACATGTTCTGATACAGAAACTCAAAACAATCCACAAAACAATCCATTCGGTGTAGTTGAAATACCTTCAGAATGATTTTGTGTAATATCGTGTTCAGGACAAACCACACTTTATATAATGATATTTATTATCAGTGCAAAATTCAACATTAGATCTTGGGAGAAAGGGGATGCTCTCGCTCTCACCTTCCTGGTCTTCTTGACATTCCCTCTACATACCTTGACGAATTTGTGTTGACTGACCAGAGTTCACAAATTCAAGTCCTCCTCTGATCTAACCTCGGTCCTTTACCCCTTAGGCTTGTGTGACTTAGCTCACCGGCTAACAAGACCGCACACTAGGAAACAACCCTCGGCCGACGAGAGTTGCATTTAAGGACCACACCCAGAGAAGATGTCCCTTCATCAGTTTCTATTGGAACCTATCACCTGCCATGCGTGGAACCGTGACAGGACACAAATCACCATAAGTCCAAATAACCATGAAGTTCATATCTACAAGAAAAGTGGCAACCAGTGGGTGAATATTCATCAGCCGAAGGATCACAATGGACACATCACAGGTATTGATTAGGCTCCCAACAGTGACCGTATAGTGACATG